ACATGCATTTACATATGTATGTACATACAAACGAGCACCAATTAATTGTATTTAAAGAAATGGCGTGTCGTCTATTTCCGCTGTAGCAAACGTAGTACATAGGGCGACATCTAGATGTCATCTACCTCGCCCTATTCACTACAGATGTTGCCCTATGCACTATGCTTTTTTATAGGAACTTTTCAAAGCAAAGCTTTATGGTGTCGGACACACAACATTGAAAGTTTCTGGATCCATAACATTGAAAGTTTCTGGACACACAACATTGCAAGTTGATAAAAGCGTTGTAAAAAGTAGTGGTTTACATACTTATGCTAAAAACATTTCTTTTATTTATTGACTAGATGCCAAATACGGAGGCTGAATGGTTGCAGGTTGCAAATGATTTTAATACTTTGTGGCAATTCCCACACACTTTGGGTGTGCTTGATGGGAAACACGTGCGCATTAAGGCTCCGGCACATACATGATCTCAATTTTATAATTTCAAAGGATTTTTTAGCATAGTTTTATTTGCATGCGTTAACGCACACGGTCGGTTTGCATACATAAATGTTGGCTGCAATGGTAAATCCTCCGCCAACACAATATACAGAGACAGCCATTTATACGAGGATTTACAAAACGGGACACTAAGCATCCCAAAGGCTAGCCAGTTATTCCTCCTTGCACTGCGGAAAATTCCAGTTGGAAGAGTAGCGGAACTAGTCCAAATGACGCAGTTATTCTTCCAAACGGAATACCTATTTTCCCAGAGAGCAAGGGTATAAAACCCTGATGGCAACCCCACAGTCGGCCATTTCTACATCGCACTGGTGAATAGCAACCGGAAAGGCATCCTCGTAAAAATTCATGAGACAATACGTTTTAGTTTTGCCAAAACACAGACGTGTCGATGGACACTAAAGTCAACGTAAAATCAGGGTTCGGAAATATTCACTCATCTTCGTACGCGAAGGTGAACGTATCAAATATTCCCTATTGATTCTCCTTCGCGAACGAGAAACATAAAACCCGTCCAGATAGTTCGCTGTTGTTCGTACGCGTATGTATTGGTGGACCAAACAGCGTGCTCATATATGTAGCTATAAGTGGCAGCGATGCCTTCGCGAAGGTTCACTGGTGTCGTTCTCGTTCATAAGTGAATGTAAATGCTGCGTCAAACATTCGCGGAAAGTTGGTGTGGCTGGAGATACTATTCTATGCGAAGGCAATTTTGTTAATTGCATAAGATTTGCGACGTTCATTCGATTTTCAAAAATGACGTGTCAAATGAAAGGGTTTGGCCTCTAGATGTTTCCTTGTCCAACTTGGAAAAGTCAGGACAGACTTCGCGGTTTTTCTTACCGATGATGTCAGTGTCATCGGCATAAGCCAGCAATTGTACGCTCTTGTAGTAAATTGTTCCTAAGCGGTTCAGTTCTGAAGATCTTATTATCTTCTCCAACATCAGATTAAAGAAGCCACATGAAAGAGAGCCGCCCTGTCTGAAACCCCGTCTGGTGGCGAAAGGCAACAAAGCAGAGCTGGTGGTATTACTCAACGTCATTTTTCACAGGCGTATGACAGACATAGCGGCATATACCTTTAAGTACTGTCGAAAGCGGCTTTAAAGTCGACAAATAGGTGGTGAGTGCGGATCATTTTCTCGCGGGTCTTTTCCAAGATTCGGCGTACTGTGAATACCTGGTCTATGGTATACAATACATTCGATAAGACCTTGCAACCTATGCTTAGAAGGCTGATCCCGCGGTAGTTGGTACGCATGGCGGGGTCGCCTTTCTTGTGGATTGGGCAGAGCGCACTTGAATTCCAGTCGTCGGGCATGCACCTTATTACTTCCTTGCCATCGTAATTAAATAGCTCAGCTGACAGGCCGTCAGCTCAGACAGCTTTGGCACTTTTCTTCATAGTCAGGCGCTGGGATATCGACTCCATCGTCATCGACTGGAACCTCGAAGTGCCTCCGCTATTCAAAAGGGTCGAAAAGTGTTCCCTCCATAATCTGAGTACGTTCTGGACATCAGTCACTAGGTCGCCATGGTTGTTCATACAAGAGTCTTGAAACCTTCCGTAAGTCGCTCAACTCTCTGCTAAAAATTTCGGGTGTTTTTTCTGTCGGACAGCATTTCAAGCATTTTCTCACACTCGTGATCGTACCAGTAATTAGCGGGAAATGTGGTTCCACTGCTCGCGCAAGTCGGTTTGTTGAAGAGTGCTCTCTCACAGCAGGTGTGAGGGTCGAGCGCCGAATCCATTGGCCGTCTGTTTTGATTGCAGCTTTTCGACGTTGAACTTTCCCTGCATTGTTGGGGGCCCTTTTTTTTGCTTCTCCGAGGTTAGGTCGTATATTGGATGCATCAATATAGTAGTGCGAGTCGATGTTTGGCCCTCGGAGTGTACGTATGTACATCTAAAACATGGAAGCATGTCTTCCGTCTATCACAACATGCTCGATTTGGTTTCCCGTTTTTCGATGTGGAGACATCCATGTAGCTTGAGAGAACGAAAAATGACACTGAAGATGGAACAACGCCGAAACCGGTTTGTCTCCAAACCAAATTTGACAAGGGACGACGGAAAATCGTTCCACAATACATCACACTCCTACCCTGTCGGAAACACCAACAACGAAAATAAGAATAGCTTGATGGATGTTTTTATGCTAGAACCCAGTAATACATACTGCCAAGCTTCGGGCCCCGGCGAAGTGGATCATCCTCAGCCCGCCGTTTCTATGTGGAGGCTGATTTTTTCGACACTGGCACCAAAGATCCCTTCGTTGCCCACCTTGGCATTTAAATGGCCAAGCACGATTTTTATACGTGTCGGGGGCAGCGCTAATATGTACGCTCTAAGCTAAGAGAGCCTTGGATGCCTCGTCCTTCTCTTCCATCGGGGCATTGGCACATGTGAATGAGATGTTGAAGAATCTCGCTTTGAGGCGGATTGTGGCTAGACTTTCGTCCACTAGAGTGAACGCCGGTGTCTCTCCCACCACAAATCCAACACCGAATTGCACTCCTTTACGTGGCAACTGTAGTAGACGTCGCAAGGCTCACGCTTACCTTCCTCGCCCCGTCCATCGCATTTCGTGGATGGAGCTGATGTCAGCCTTTATTTTCCCTAGGACTTCAACCAGCCGGGCAGAGGCACCATCCCGATTAATCCCCAGCGCACGCGGGGTGTTACGCCCTCCCACTTTACCTCGCTCCCAAACTAGCGTTCGGTCGCTACCCAGAGTATTCATGGATATAAATATCCGGACGTAGTTAGCTGCGATTTGAACCGTAAGCACACGAATCACTTCTGGCCACTCCCAGGTGAATTGCCGGCAAAAGCTTTGCAGTACTGGGAAATGTACAAAACATAGTGGCCAAAAACGAATATCTCAACTAAACCCTGATGAATTTTTTTAAATTCGCTCTACATACCTGTATAATAAACCAAATAGCCGGACAAAACGTTAAATGATATACATACATATGTATGTATGTATAAGTATGAGGGCGTATTGAACATTTTGAGTACGCAGATTTTTTAGGCTGGTATATTTATTTATGCTAAATATATTAATTGATTTTGTTTTGTCACACTTTAGAAGTAAACGTCTTGGCTGTTCACCCAACCGCTTAGTAAAGACACAAACCTAAAGACAAAGTAATAAACAATTGAACTATAAATTTATTTATAGTTTCCGTTCAATCAATTTTGTCGACTGCAGCCAGGTTTTTACCCTTTTAAAATGGAAGTGCTTTGAAGTTAGAGATAATAACTTGATACAGAACCGGATGATCCACATATCTACTTTTCAAATCAATTTACTAATTATTTAGTTAGCGTTGGGAGTATAATTTGTTATACAGTATATATATAGGAAAAACCTTGAAATTTAGGGGGGGCCGAAATTATCAAGCAAGCATTTCGTGGTAGTATTTTTGAATATCTAGGCCAAAAATTGAAAGTTAGGGGGGAATGCACACGCATTCTGGAGTAAAAATGCTCACTCTCCCAAACGTACGCCACATACACTCCTCGTCATTTGAATAGCTCAACTTTTTAATAAAGATTAAAGAGTATTTACGCTTTTAATTTTGGTTATTTAATATTCATTACATCTGATTTTAAAACTATATACAGAGTTAAAAAAAATGTCAACAAAGGGGTACAATAAAGTGCAAGTTTCAAGTGTCTGTAAAATAGCGGTGATTTTTGAAAATTTTTTTGGTGATAGTGCTGCGCATTTTCTCTCATACAAAGTATGCTCGACAAAACTTTTATATGGAATAAAATGCGCAGCACTGTCAATAAAAAATAAATGAATTTGAAAAATCGGGGCTGTTTTAGAGTCACTTCAAACTTGCACTTAATTACACAATAATTGAATGGGCATATCAGAAATTTTTCTAAAAATATTATTAACTTATTCACTGCAGGTCATTAGGATGGCACACTCCTATGTTGATCTTTTTTAAGAACTGTTTCCAGCTCTCGAGAAAAACGAAAAAATCATATAAAATGCTGCCCAAGAAATGGAAAATAAACTTTCTTTTAAGTTTTAGTTTGTAAAAAAATTTAAAATTGCATTTACCCATAGAATATGCTATATCGTCACTAGACACGAATAAAGGCGCGAGCTCAAAAGTTGTCGGCGAAAAAAGATGCATAAAAAAATTTCAGCGTCAAATACTCTTAACATACTTCGCCAAAGTTTTTTATAAGCATCTTTTTTCGCAAAATTTTTTTAAACGCTTTTTTTCACCGTCAAAACACCAGCGCGCCTTTATTCGTATGTAGTGACGATATTTTTAAAAAAAATTTATATTAAATAAACAAACGGAAAACTGTAAATACTAAGAATTGAAAGGGTATGCAATTTAAATGACGAGGAGTGTATATGAGCAGCGTGATTGTGTTAGGGCCAAATTCACAGTGCGTACAAAAATCTGTAGGTAACTGCCGATTCTGAGTTAACTACGCACTGTGAATTTGGCCCTAAGTGTGCCAATTACGTTTGAATGAATTTGCGTTCGCTTTGTTACGCTCTCGCATGTATTTGCATGTGATGCTTACGCTCTTTAAGCAGGCGCTCACTCTCTGTCCATGCTTGTATATGAGCAAATTTGACATCGATATAACTGTTGCCAACTTTGTGCCTTCCGCAAGAAATTCAGTGCGTTTAGGGAATTAAAAGGCAAAAATTGTGTAGTTTAGCGCTTGTTTTGTTCTTTGGTGCCCTTTTCAAGGCAATTTTATAATAAAAAAGTGATTCTATGGTGACATTGTATTTGACTTACACATATGTTAGTGTTTGGCCGAGCTTCTCCTCTGAATAATATGCTCTCTATCACGGAATCCATAGAATATTCTGCTAATTAGCTGGGTGTACGCATTTGTACAAAAGTAAGCAATTGCATGAAAATAAAGGAAAGGAGCGAAGTCCGAACGATGGCTTATTGTGTATATGAGGAAAATGTATGCTCTTTGTTTGGTACACAAAGTCAGTATTACCGCAGCCGTACTGCGATGAACATGATGTCGGTGGGGTATAAATAATTGTTTCGCAACTTTTCATACCCTTCCTCCCGTAAACCGTTTTCCCTTTCTCCAGCCCGCGCTCGCACTTTCGCTACTGCGCGGGCAAAAAAGTGCCCATGTCTGCATTATAGAACCAAAACTCAAGAGGAAGAGGATGGGACGGAGCGAGGGGCGGAATTAGCCATACTCGAGCTATGGGAAGACCGAGTGGGGGAGCCCCGTGGGCTGCGGAGGAATGCGCTCGTCTACGCGGAGATGGCAGCGGACCTCGCAGAGCTTGGGTACACCCACAATGCCAGGGATGTGCAAGTTAAATTGCAAAATTTTTCGCAGCGCTACAGGTATGTTCATACAAGAATTAAATGCGGGTATAGTTTAGTAATTTGCCATGATTTCGGGCTGCTATTGTGTGCAAATAGGTGACCCGACACACACACTTGTAGTCAAAGGTCTAAGCTTAATTTAAAAATTAATTTTGTAATTTTCCTTGCCTAATTTATTAATAAATTCGAAGGCTGCCAACACGGTAAGGTGTTTTGCACAAAAAAAACTGTTTACCGAGTTTAGACCGTTTTCCAATGATGTTCCCCAGGAGTCTATACGAGGCTTCGAGGAGTCAAGTATGACTTTTTATAAAGTTTGAACTGTGCTCTCTACTGGTTTCAATATCAAGAGTCACGCCCCCTCTCCCTCTGCCGACCAACCCAAAAACCGTGGGCAAATAACTAAACATTCCCCTAAAATGCTATTTGTAGAATCTTAATTTTTCAATTAAAACTTGTAGAAAGGAAAAGGCAGAAATGGGTCCTTCCGGTGGGTCGCCTTCTACATGGGTGCACTATGAGAGGGTGCACCAAATAATTGGAGGGTTCAAGTCAAATCTGCACACGGAGCTCACGCTTGAAAGCATTGATGGTACGTATGTTTTCGTTTATTTGGAATCACTTGCATATACATACGAGTACATATCGTCCCCCGTAAGCCAAAAAGTGAATGTGCAAAAATGAAAATTTTGGGAAGTTCATGTAATTAACATTCTGAAATATGTGCTATCCGTGTATGCATTGTATGTTTACGTATAACGTAGAACATCCAAAGATTAATCCAGCCAACACAATAACTCAAAATATGGTAAATTTGCACATTTATGTTTCTGGCCCATACAATTTTGGCGTGATAATGTGCAAGTTTTTTAACACAATAGGGCTATTCAGGATTTTGTGGAAATGGTTTTAGATTTGCAGTTGGAATTGCAATTGCAATTTTTTTGCTTGCTGCCATGGCAACCGCGTGCATTTTATTGTTGTGAATTTACAAATGCAACGGCTATGCAAATCGAAGAGCATATGCACAATATCCTGAACAGCCCTAATTTATTTTTATATGGAAGAAACCCGCAACACCTTCAGCGGGAAAAAAATCAGCGGTAATTTTTAGCAACTTAAAACTTTCACTTTATTGGTCTTAAATTTAAAGGGGCCACAAAACTCCGCACTCGAAAATTTCCTAAAAAATCTGATAAAAAATTTCATTGCCCGCAGCTGTATAGGGCACTCTAGTAAAATTCCTAATTCATTAACCTTTTTAACACGTTTCTTTATCGTATCGTTACCTTAATTCACAAAGGCCCTAAGCAATACTTTTCTAAACTGGGGTTTTCACACATTTTGGTAGGATATGTTAAAATACACCTTCAATACAAATTTCAAAGTTTTAGCATTAAAATGGTACTTTTTAAAAGGTCCTACCTGTTTTTGATACACCTTTTATATGATTTTTTGCTCCTGTAAAATAAAAAATTCGTTGGTTTTGACCTTTTTGAATTAAAGTAACGATATACAATAAGCAAAAATCTTTTCATTTTACAATTAAAAAACGTTTAATTGTATTAAATTTTTAATGTTCACAAAAATGTTTCTTTCAAACAGACTCATCAAAAGCATCGTCATCCATTGCACCTGTACCGTCCCCAGGAACACCGTTGCCATCACCCTCGTCGCCACTGCCCTCACCAGTACCTTCAACATCAGCGTCGGCTGGAAAAGCAAGAAAATTTAATTTTCAATAAAAATTATTAGAGAAGTTTGACAATTTATCGTCGGACATTGCCGAACATCTGAAGAGAATGAAAAGGAATTAATAGATATTGAAAGAAAGAAAGCAAAGGTTCAAGAAAGAACCGCAAAAGATAATTAAGAAGTAAAACGAGCCTTAATATCTTTTTTAACCCTAGAACACACACCCGGGTACAAATGTATCCACTTTCAACTTTGAAGTGTTGTAACTTTTGAACCGCTAACTTCGGATCTAGGAAGATTATTTAGTTTTGAGTTCAAATTCAAAATTTGAACCAGATCGGACCATTGGTTCAGGAGCTACAGCCTTCCAAACACATTATATACGTAAACACACACCCGGGATACGTTTGTACCCCAATAGTAAAAATCCTTATAATAATAAAAAAAAAACATTTTTTATATTATTTTTTTATTTGAAAAATTAAAAATATTCATTTCACACATTATATTATTGACTTTTATTATAAAAATTATAAAAATGCATCTTATATCTAAGGAAAATCATGGCAAATAGAGCAATTTGTTGATGTGACCGAATGTTCAAGACACATTGGCTTCTTACATTTGTCGCACAGCTTACTGGTTTTTCTACGGCGTTTTTCCTCTTGTGCGTAACATAAATAGCAAGATCCGGACACAGGTTTTGGCGTGCGCGCTGCGGCAGATGTTGATGCTGCTGTTGACACCATTGATTCCACCGGTCGGTTGAAATATGCTTCAATAGCAATTTTAGTCGAAAAATTTCGCGTCACTTGACGATTTATGGCTCTGGCTTCAATAATGGGCATACACAATGCTTCAGCCAAGCTGCACAGGATCTGCTTACGCTTGTTGTTTGTTCTCCAAGGCAACATAGGGTTATTCAAATCGTAGACAATGTAGGCTGCAAGAGCTGTAATGTCCAACATGTTGAAGAACATCGCTAGTGGCCATCGTTTTGTTTGTCTTTGTGTGGGATATTCCGCAAACATTTGGTCCATTCGATCAACACCACCTTTGGTACGATTATAATATTCAATTATTTCAGGTTTCCCACTGTCAGCTATTTCAGCATCATTATGCATGGTCGAAAGCAAAATTACTGCTTTATTTTTTTTGGGAACATAAGAGCACATTGTCACACTATTTTTGAAGCCAAATGTCGTTGAACCAATTGTCCTGTTTTTGTTCTGCTTCATTTCTTGAGGAATATATGATTTGTTTTTGCGCAAAGTTCCAACGATCGTGAGTTTCCAGGTGAGAAGCAGTTCTGCAACTGGCAAGGTCGTAAACAAATTGTCCATTATAATGTTTCGGCCACTTCCTTGGTATTTGGCAGACAAATCCTTCACCACTCGTTCGCCTTGGTTCGTTTCCCTACCAGTTTCTGCTTGGCCAGTATATATTTGTCCATGCAGTGGATATGCATTTGTGGCATCGCAAATCCACCAAACCTTGATACCATATTTAGCAGGTTTTGACGGTATGTACTGCGTAAACCGTGTGCGTCCACGGTAAGGAAATAATTGTTCATCAATCGTCAAGCATGAGCTGGGCTTGTAATGTGCAGCAAGATTATTGTTCATCATCGTCCACAACTCACTGATCGGTGCTGCTTTATCAGTTAGTAAGCGTGTTGCACGAGTGTTTTTATCGTCAAATCTTAGGAACCGCAATATCGAACAGAAACGGTTGACTCCCATTGTGGCGCGATATAAAGGATAGTTTTTGACGCTCCATAAATCTCGAACATGTTCTCCATTGCTATGGTTCGCACCAGTCATAATAAGTATGCCAAAAAATGCATACAGCTCTGTTATTGACACAGGCGTCCATGACTTAGGAGTTGTGTTTGGATGCGCATTGTTGTAAGCATTATAAGTTTCTTTTGCTAACTTATTTGTGTGGCGCATAATTATATCAGCCATTTCAACGTTCATGAAACATTTGAATGTTTGCTCTATTGACAACATTTCAGTGCATCTAGCTGGTCCAGAACGTTCTCTTATAATATTTTGTCTGAGTACCTGACGACTTACATTTGGTTCTTTCATCCACTCAGTACCATCACGTGCAACAAATTTTTCGGCACTAGCAGGTAATTCATTATTTTCTTCTACTTCTACTTCTTCTTCTTCATCATCCTCATAGTCCGCATAATCAGGTAATACTTCTGCGGCACTTTGCGAAACTTCAGCATCGTCATCAGCAATTTCAATGTCATTGATTTGAATTTCTTCTTCATCTTCTGAGTCAAAGTCATAGGGAGCGTCATCGTCACAAATTTCATCAAATAAAGATTGTATATATGATTCTCGCTGTTCCTCAGTTAGCCTGCATAATAAAAAAAATTAGTATATGTTTACATTGTTGCTTATTTTACATTTTTTACCTTCTATATGCTGCACTTGATAAATATTTGTTTCTTCTTGAAGTCATTTCGTATCCAGTTATTTATAGTTTCAGTTATATTTATTTTCACTTATATTTTCACTTCTTACACTTTTGAGCACCAAAACAATAATGAAAATATCAACAGGCAGCATTTATAACAACACCTCGTGTGAAAACAACCCTTGCAGCTGCATATAAAATACAAAATCCAGTTATACCAGTGTATTTGCTACCTACGTACCCATACCTTGCGCGACCTTTTTGCACATATCTTTTGAACCAGGTAGAATATTTCAATGAAATAAAAACCAAAATGTGTATTCGTTGTTACTCTACAAGTATATTATTATAAATTATATTATTTTGTTTTGCATTTATCAGGACAACAACAAAAACAAAAATCCACTGTTGCATGTCCTGACTTTATTTGCCCATATCGCTGGAACCAGTAGGAATATTCGAATGAAACAAAAGACAAAATACTTGTTATATATTAAAATATACATTTCAAAAAAAAAATCATAGAAATCGGTTGAATAAGCATTAAAAAAACCGCAAAATAAGGTCCCGGGTACAAACGTATCCCGGGTGTGTGTTTACGTGGTATTTTCTGGGTGTGTGTTCTAGGGTTAAATAAGAATTAATCTTGTATTTAAATAATAACACTACACTGCGTTGCATAATTATAAGACCGTAACATATTAACAAGTTTGACTACGTAGTTTTAAATTATTTAATTTCAATTATTTTCCTATAAAATCATAGTTCATTCTATAACAAACACGATACAAATTCACACCTTCAACTTTGTGCAAAAATTATAAAAGTTTAGCAAATTTTCATAAATATTTTTCTTAAACAGTTTTTGGAAAAAATTTGCGCATGCAGTTTTATAGCCCATTGAATTCTAGTACAAGAAAGAGCAAGTTTGGAGTAGCTAAAAAATACCGTTGATTTTTAGCAATTTTTTCTCTTGACGGTGCTGTTCATTTTCTTCCATACAAAGTATGTTCGACAATTTTTTTTATATCGAAGAAAATGAACAACACCGTCAACAGAAAAAATTGCTAAGAATCAACGGTATTTTTTAGCTACTCCAAACTTGCTCTTTCTTGTATTAGAATTCAATGGGCTATAAAACTGCATGCGCAAATTTTTCCCAAAAACTGTTTAAGAAAAATATTTATTTGTTTTTTGTTATTTTTTTGGCCTTTTTAATAATTATATTCAACAATTTTATAATGAGCTCGAGGCCATTTTTTAAATGAAAATTTATTGTGGAAAAGCAACAATAATTTGAAAAAATGGTAGAAGTGATAGCTATTTCGGAAATCACCACATTTCCTCATCAGACTTCTTTCAGTAGGATTCGAACCGACGATCCCACTGACTCAGCCAGTTGCCTATGCACCGTGCTAAGACGCCTTGTAAATTATCGTTTGCTTATTTCCACTATTTTTCATTTTT